ACATTATGCTTCTCTGCCCACTGCTGTCCATGAGTTTTGGCAATAGCTGCTGGTGCTCATTGAGACCAGTAGTGCAGGATGGGCAGTAGAAGGGAAACCAAAGTCAACAATGGGTGAAGCTGGCTAATTCTGGTTTTGTCTCCTCCTTCCTTCATTCGTTCGTTCGTTCATTCGATTGATTGATTGATTGATTGATTTGTTGATTGATTTCTATACAGCCTGTCTGGCAGCTAAGGCCACTCTGGGTGGTTTACAACAACTAAACAGTAACAACAATAGAACCACAAAACATAACATCAATAAATTATAAAAGTCCAAAACAAAATACCATAAAATACGACAGGAGACATAATAAAATGCAATAAAATAAATAACATTAAAACATGGAAGTAAATTAGATATTACGTTATCAGAAGCACTATTGTCTCAAGATGTTATTTGATCTGGAAAGGCCAGTCTAAATAACCAGTTTTTTAGTAGTTTTTAAAAAGTGCATAGTGAGGGGGCCAGGCAAATTTCGAGCGGGAGTGTATTCCACAGTTGCGGAGCTATGGCCAAGAAGGTCCGATTTTTGATGGTTGTTTTCCAGGCCTCTTTCGGGATCAGAACTCTCAGCAGCCCTGTCTGTGATGATCTTACTGGATGGGCAGACCTAACAGGAAAGATATCAAGGTCCCAAACTGTTTAGGGTCTTATAGGTTAATACCATCACCTTGAAGTTGGAACAGAAACGAACAGGTAACCAGTGTAAGGCGGTCAAGGTGGGGGAAATATGTTGCTATTTTTTAACCCCACTCAGTGGTCTGGCCACCGCGTTTTGGACCTGTTGCAGTTTCTGGAGCAGTACCAAGGGCAGCCCCATGTAGACGGCATTGCAGTAGTCTAATCTTGAGACTACCAGCGCATGGACTAGTGTGGTGACGGAAAAATTAGGGGCGCAGCTGGGCAATCCGCTTAGGTGGAAGTAAGACGATAGACCAGAGACACTACCTGGGATTTCATTGATACTGCCGGGTCCAAAAGTATGGCCAGGCTGTGCACCTCATCCTTCATGGAAAGACTGGCTTCCCTGAAGGAAAGGGAGGCACCCAGATCACAAACACTAGGGCGCTGGGTCCAAAAGTATGGCCAGGCTGTGCCCCTCATCCTTCATGGAAAGAGTGGCTTCCCTGAAGGAAAGGGAGGCACTCAGATCACAAACATTAGGGGCCCCCATCCACAGGATTTCCATCTTGTCGGGGTTGAGCCTCAGTCTGTTTTCCCTCATCCATCCCAGCACCTTCATCCTTTACAATAACACGGCAGTATATCTCCATAAGCGTTAACATGTAACTGAACCAAGGAATAATCTGTTATTTTGGTTCAGTTAGCTTTCACAACTGTTTGTTTCAATTGTGTTTAATTTCCTACTGAGGGGAAAGTGGGACCTCTACCACCATTTCTAGTCACCAAGTGGAGGGAGGAGTGCCATACTTGCCATACTTGATCCATTTTCCTCTGTGTTTTGGACATTATTTCCCATGATTCCTGAGTTTTGGCTGGGGTTCATGGAAGCTGTAGTCTCACAATATCTGGAGCACACCTGGTTGAAGATGGTTGTTATATATTATTGATTTAAGCAGATTCAAGAACAGTTTTTACCCAAGTGCAGTATTGAGTTTAAATGTGGGGCCATAGGTTTTTGGTGGATTTTAATTGCTGAGAGAAAACGGGGTATCTATATTTGGATGGTGAAAGTTGTGTATATTTTAACTTTTTTTTGTAGTGTTGTCCAGTTTTACCTTGGGGAAGAGCACCTCATTTCGTTGCACCCACTTGTGAGCGCAATGACAAATAAATTTCTTATGTCTTATGTCTTATGTCTTATTTATAGCCATCATTGTGTATAATGCTTTCCAGAGTAAAAGAGGTGATGTTCTTAAAACATTTGATAGGAAGGCAAGGGATGTGGAGTACCCAGTTATTTCAGTGCAGCCCCATACAGTACGTGATAGCCCCATCTAGGTTGGCTGAACTATGGACTTTTTTTGAACCTCCGTTACTGCCATAGGAGATGATTTGGTGCTCTTTGAGGAAAGAATGACAAAGGAATTCTGAGGGTAGGTGGAGAGATGAGAAAGGTGCATTGGGTTCTTTTTAAGGAGAAAGGTGGGATCAAAATACAGTATTTCAAATAAATAAAAATAATAATAAATATAAGCACAGGTAGAGCACTTCCTCTATCTGGGATAGATATACATGATTTGCTAGCAACTGAATAAAGCTTTAGCAGTCACTTGTGCCACTTTATTAAGGAGAAAAGTTGGGGAAGGACCCCTGACTGTGTTGTTAGGTAAAGGTAAAGGTTCCCCTTGACAATCTTTGTCCAGTCGTGTTCGACTCTAGGGGGCGGTGCTCATCCCCGTTTCCAAGCCATAGAGCCAGCGTTTTGTCCGAAGACAGTCTTCCGTGGTCACATGGCCAGTGCGACTTAGACACGGAACGCTGTTACCTTCCCACCGAGGTGGTCCCTATTTATCTACTTGCATTTGCATGCTTTCGGACCACTAGGTTGGCGGGAGCTGGGACAAGCGACGGGCGCTCACTCCGTCATGTGGATTCGATCTTACGACTGCTTGGTCTTCTGACCCTGCAGCACAGGCTTCTGCGTTTTAGCCTGCAGTGCCACCACGTCCCACGTGGTGTTGTGTTGTTAAGATCTAGGCATATATGGATGGGGGCAGATTACTGGAAGCCAAGCTATTTTGGGGCTTCAAGATTATATTATTAGCTCATAAATTGGGGTTGAAAATATACTGAAAGCCCGGTCAGATCACAAAACCCTGATGTAAGCAACAATCATATTTACCTATCTCTGTTAACAACCATATTAACCTGTGTGTGTTAATAAACTCTTTGTTTTATTTTGAACTGGCTGAAGTGTTCACACTGTTTTCAGAGGGATGCTCATGTCAGTAATCCAAGCAAGAGGTTATATTTGTACAACTGCAGCAATTGCATTCACTTCTGCTTTTCCTGCTCGGAGGAGTAATTCATTTTGTACTAGATGATGCATAGCAAGCGGGAGGGAGCTATTACTGAAGGCTCGGAGGGGCCCTCAGTAGTAGCTCCCTGAATAAGGAGCTGGGTGGATGGTTGTCACAAATTTACAACAGCCACGTTTGCTTCAAATAGTGTTTCATCTAATTTCTCCTAAGGTAACTGGATTGAAAAATGCACAAGATAATAACAGTTTTGCTGGCCTTGCTGAGTTTGAGCTTGACCCCAGAACTAGGCAGTGCCCACGAGCGATGGACTGCATTCCGGAGCATGTTTAGAGGAATAAAGTATGGTGTTCCATCTGGAGGAGACCCCGGGAAACCACTGTTTCTGACACCCTACATTGAAAGTGGCAAAACTGAGGAAGGTAAAAAAGGCTTTGTATAAACCTTTGGGACTGTCAACTTGGAGCACACAAAGATATTGAATAATATTTTCAGTGTGTGGAATTCATTGTCTGAAGGACTAAACAAGAGAACGCAGCACCCCTTATTAGATAAGCAATGGTTAGCATGTGTTGCTCTGTTTTGTAGGGTGGGGTAGAGCTGGAATCCTGTTGCTTAGCATAGTAAGTACTATGCCATTTGAATAAGCTCAGTGAATCAGTGAGGATTTAGAGAGTCAACTCCTCTGTAAGTTCCATTGATTCGAATGGCCCTACTCTAGTTGCAACCTACTACACTTCTAGGATTTCAGCAACTTGCTTGAACAAAAATAGAGGATGTGGCTTTTTAGCTTATTCCCTTTCTGCCATTGGCTGGATTTATAGATCCTACATAGTGAACATGCAGGCAGTGCTTAAATATTTGTTGCATTTATGTTCACAATATATCCCTTATAATATCCATAGAGTTGCCCTTGGACAAGAAATCACCACTGAATGGTACTGGCCTTTACTTATAGAGAATGCAAGGAAATAGTTTATTTTCTATCATCTTTTGTTTGCTGTCAGCTCAGAGATTATTGCAAAGTAATGTACCCACTGACTTAATTTTCAGTGTGATCTTCCTGACTGACTTAACGAGAAAAAAAGTCATGCAGTACCAGTATCATGGGATGTGGGCAAGTGTGATGTTCAATTTTGGAAAAGCATAAACTTGCCTACTGTCCTCACCCCTGTTCTCTAAACCATTAGAGTGGGATGTTTGGTTTCTAGTTGGCAGGTAGCAATCTGAGTTGTAGTTGGGTATTGTCAGTCACTTTCTGTTTGGAAGGCAAATAAGACAAGCACTTTGAAATTGTTCCTTACACAGACAAGGTGTTTGTGTGCGTGTCTGTGTCTACCAAAAGAAACAAATCTGGATGTAAACTGTATTTTTTTCTAGTCAGAGCTCTATGTATGTATGTATGTATGTATGTATGTATGTATGTATGTATGTATGTATGTATGTATGTATGTATGAATGAATGAATGAATGAATGAATGAATGAATGAATGAATGAATACCATGTGTGTTGCATCTGTCTGAACTCTTGGATGTTTCTTAATCTAATCATGCATTGTCTTCCTTGACACCCCACTTTGGCTTTATTTTCGGGCATGCTGTAACAGGAAGGCAACTGAGTATGGTGGGTCCTCTCCCAGGAGCCAATGTGAAGAGTTATTCAGGATATTTGACAGTCAATAAAACCTACAACAGCAACCTTTTCTTCTGGTTCTTCCCTGCTCTGGTGGGTATGATGTAATACAATGTGCTGCTCAATTAAGTGCTCAAAAAGTGGTTTTGGTTGTTTTCACCTTTTAAAATGTCGATGATGTTATTTGGAGAAGGCTATTGCCATTTTAGTCAAAATTGTATATGTCTGTGACTAACTGCATCTTCCTTGAAGCTTACTGTAGCAATGATGTGCTACTGCTTTAGTATCACTCATTTAACTATGAAAAAGTTGCCAGAATCCTGTTGGTTATTTATGCTGGTTTTAGTGCAGTGGTGTAAATTCCAAAGGTTAGACTGCCACTAGTTAATGAGTTACCTCTTAAGTTCCTGATTGTGCTCTAGTCATATGATATGGCATGTGATGAGCAATACAAGCAGTAACTTGTTAACTTGCAGCAATTTGCCACTGCAGTTTGTTATTGCTCTTGCACCAATGTAAATAACCAATAGGATTTTGATCTCTCCCTCTCCCCCTTCCTCTGTTTTAAAAAATATAAAGGGTTAGGGAATCTACATACACATGCAGAGGTCAACCATCACACAGCATTACTAGATGATCTAGAGCAGTGTTACACAACCTGCGGGTCACAGTGTGTTTTCTGGGGGGTTGTGAGTTGCATTATAAGTGTTGCAGCCCTCCTTAAATAATATCTTCCTTGACCTTTCAGAGCAGGGTGTTAGTGTGTATGTATATGTATGAGAAACAGGTCATTTGGGGGAGAAGACGCCTCTGCTTTCTGAGAAGGGATGATGTTACCCCATTTAAAATGCCTTTTGTGCAGATGTAGCGGGGTTTGCAGGTTACCTGGCTGTTATAAAAGGGGGTCCTAACTCTGTAAATGTTGGGAACTCTTGGTCTAGAGAGATGACAAACCTACGTGGTCACTGTGACAGACTAGCAATGTTCAGCCTGTCAAATCAATTGCCTGTAGGCAGGATGGAATTCATGCCATCTTTTGGAGCTAGGAGAAGAGGCTTTAGCAGGTGTCAATAAAAAGAAGATTGCCCTGTCATAGTTTTGATACAGAACTTATCAAAGGAGCTCTGATAGATTTTTGAAATGGCAGAAAGTAGTCATGCTTGAGAAATGTGTTGTAGATTCCTGCAATTTAAATTAGAGGCACTTGGTGAAATGGTAGACTTCCACCCCACTTGCAAAGATCAGAATACTACTTTGACACAGACATGCAAATCATTAAGGACCATCTCATATATAGTTTGACAGAGCTTTATGGTGATTTCTGATAAGCCTTGTGCATAAAGAAGTGAAACAAATTTCAGTCCTACCATTCTGAATAGTGAAATTAATTAAATATCTGTTTTGTGTAACAACATAAAGTTTATAGGTTTAAGAGATTGTTCATTTTTGAATATTTTTCCGACCTTTAAACATACTGTACCTGCAATGTTACCAAGATAAGAAGTGTCATGTGTAGTGTAACCTAGAGAGATTGAGGTTGAGATGATCTAAAAATGACCTTCTGTTTCCTCCATGTTCTACCTTGTGTCCCTTTCAAACTCATTTGGCTGCATTGTCTGTGTCCTTCAGTTACGAACATCCTTTATCACACTGATAACTTGGGAGACAATATGTCCTCATGATGTTTACCAAAGTAATCTCAGGACTAGACAGCCACAGAAAGCCTTGAATGTGTTTTTGTTTGAGCTTCCCTTTTATTAATTTAGATATAATAATCCAAGTGCTGTTTTGATTTTATTTTGTTATATTTTTGATATTGCATCTGACTTTGGCCTGCTAGTTGGGAAGCCTTACACATGAGCAGAGAAATACAAAAGTCTAACCCATGTCAATGTCAGTGGAAGATTATTATCTACTTGCCTTGGGAAGTCCTTATGGGTTGTATTATAGATAGTCACAAAGCAGAAATGCAAGAACAGAGTTAAAGGACATAAAAGGAAGGACTATTCATAGCATGGTTACTCTTAATAACAAATGTGATATGCAAATGTTCTCAAGCATATAAAGATACTTAAGGGAGACTTTTTCTACCAATGTGGTGTTTACTCAGAACTTGGCAGCATTATTTTCTGTACTGTAACATTCAGAATCCTCTATCGGTCATGCTGGTTGGAGGATTCTGGGAGTTGTAGTCCACCAATGTAGCTTTTCCAATTTTCTTAATCATATTGTTAGTGCCAAATAAAGTAGATCTACTGAATCAATTGTTGAATGTTAAGTCAACAGTCAATGGAAATCCTTATTCCACGGGTCGACAGTATTTAGAGCTAGCAAGTGAATTTTGTTTTCTGCATTTACTTTTTTATGCTACTTGTTGAGAAATGCTATGACTAGATTGACTAGACCCCTTAAAAGTCCTTTACAAATAGTGGCTACACCTGTGCCACCACTTCTGGCTTGGTTTTCCTCTTGTCCTCTTCCTTTTTCTCCAGTTCCATTGGGTCCATTGCATTTCTTAGAAAATGAGTGCTAGCCCTATTTTCCTTTCCCAGGCAAGTGGCACAAGCAAGAAAAAAAAGATTTAATAACTATTACTGAAAATGTACTCTCCCTCAGCCTCTGTAATCTTATGGAAGTGTGACATATTGTCCCATACCAAACCTATCTACTATGGCTTACTCATCTATAATCTATTGAAATACTAGTTCTAACTGTGGATACTCAGTATTTCTCCTTAATCCCTCCCTTCCCATACCCACTGAATTATTATGAATGACAAATATAAAAATAAAATGTCTGTAAACATATTAGTGCTTCTTGGGGGGGGGGGATAAGCTTTTTGTTTCTAGCATGGTGAAATTCAGATTTCTTGGTAGAGAGGTTAGCTTTTGTCCTAAGGTACAAAAGATTGAGAGTTGGGATGGAAGGAAGACTCACTATATGACAAGACACCTTGACAAGCCATTTAAAACTTCTGCCAGATTTCTTATTTCTAATCAACAGTGAGACAAAGAGAGCATTTTTGCCCTTCCATAGTTGAGTAATTTGCACAAAATTATTTCTAATGTCCTTTCATTTTGAAAAACAAAGCACCACACGCACACAAACACACAAAATAAGCACAGAAAGAAGGGTTGATTTCTAGGAAAGATGCCAAGAATCCATCTAGTGCTTCACAATCTTAAATAAAGCAGTAATCACCCTAATTTAGTATAATTCACATATGTGAATTGAACAATTTTGCACAAAATTAGACAATTTTAGGTGAAAATTTACTTTTAAAAAAAGAGAAATTATTATTCTCTCCAATGCAAATACTTTGTAGTCAGCCCCAGGAAATTTCTTGCCATCTTTGTCAGTGAGGAAAAGAATTTTGAAATGGTTGTTGTGGGTTTTTCGGGCTCTTTGGCCGTGTTCTGAAGGTTGTTCTTCCTAACGTTTCGCCAGTCTCTGTGGCTGGCATCTTCAGAGGACAGAAGTAGCACTCTGTGCTCTGGTGCAGTTTGATTGGGAGTTGAGTATTTAGACCAGCTAACGACACCCATCAATCACAGTGACAGATAATATTTCCTCCTTATCACAACAATACACTCACAACAAAAATACACTGATCACCATAATCACCCATCTCCTGAAAAGGACAAAAGCTGATCCCACAGCTATAAATACTCAACTCCCAAAGGAAGAACAAACTTCAGAACACGGCCAAAGAGCCCGAAAACCCCCCCACAACAACCATTAGATCCTGGCCATGAAAACCTTCACAAATACAATTTTGAAATTCCTTATCCTTGCTTGCATGGAAAAGGCAAGGAACGTTTTACATTCCTTGTTCAGAACTGTTGGCAAAAGCTATAACAAACCCTTTTCTGTCTTCATATATTGGCAAGAACTCATAATCGGAATTAGACAGCATGTATGTACAAAGTATGATTCTCACCCAGTCTAGATTGAATAAGTTTGTATAGTATATTTGAGAACATTCTCAGACTGAGCATTTGTACAGCTGAATTGACAACTTTTTGCTAATCAGGACTGACATTACTGGATCAATTGGGCTGTTAGTTTGAACAAATATAACATGGCTCCTTTCCTTTCAGAAAGGAGTGAGATCTACTAACCAAGAGGATCTAAAAGCTTTTTTTATTGTGAACAAGTATGGACAAATTTACAGCAGTTGGTAATTGGCTCCAGATGTCTTTAAAATGAATGGGATTTGAAAAAGCTTTGGAAAGAATAATGGATGTGTTTTCAAAATATTTTGCAGGCATAAACTAAGAATAACGTGCTTCTAAGCATTCACAGTAGCTTTTTCCAAACAGATTTTAAGCTAAAGTATAGGATAACTGTGAAATCTGAGTACAATAAACTTAAAATTGAGATGAAGTAGGATACACATTGCCAGCCAGCCACTTTCCTCTATATTTTAAAAGTATATTTTAGCATGACACAAATTTGAAAGGAAGAAATCGTGATTTTTCATAGGGACACTAACACAGATTCTAAACCAAAGAAATACTTGTTTTGTTAACAGTATAACATTAATCTCAGATGCTATGGTAGCAGCAGTTTTGTTTCTGAGTTTAATATTTCTGCTGAGCTCATTAACTTAATTGTGACATTGATAGCACTTATTTCTTGTAGAAACCTGAAATAATTAATCTATACTCTTCCCATATAGGTAAAGAATGGTTTCAGTTTTTATTGTGCTTTTGGTATGCAGGTACAACCAGAGAAAGCCCCTCTCCTACTTTGGCTCCAAGGTGGACCTGGAGGAACATCCATGTTTGGTCTCTTTGTTGAACATGGGCCATATGTTGTGCACATGAATCTCACATGCAAGTATCTGTTACTTCTAAAGGATTCTATGCAGCTCCAAATATTTTAGAGTATTTTTAAAAAGAAGTTGTTAAATCGGTTCCTTTATGAGCACAGAATGTATTCCTCATTTATTTGATACTGAGAAAATGATCTTACTTTGCTCCAGCAATTCTGAGTTTTGAACAGATTATTATCATTATTATTTTTGGAAGCTATGTCTCGAAATAAGAGTGAAATTGCATCCTCCTTACCTGAAAATTAAGCTCCATTTAATGATAAGTCCCTTTCTATTACATTTGAGAAGTGAGACTTTCTTCCAAAAGGAATATATTTGAAAGTTATGACTTTTTCCTTTAGTGGTACAAAGGTTACTGTTACGGTGTTATTCTCCTAACTTCCAAGAATAAAGGATATAGTGAACTGTTTCAGTAACACACTTATCAAGTGAAATGTATTTAATAAGAGACAGTGAGGTTTCTCTTTAAGAAAGCATGGGCATGAAAATGAGTAGGAAAGGGATGCTGTGTGTGTTCATATTGTTAAACTGGCACTTAACTGCATAATGTCCATGAATAGCTTATATGTTTTGGAAATGATGCAATTAATACATATATATAAACATATATCAATGGACTAGGATTCAGGAGATCTCAATTTGAATCCCTTCTGGGCCATATATATATGGCCCAGAAGGGATTCAAATTGAAATCTCCTGAATCCTAGTCCATCACTCTGTCCATTGCACCAGACTGGGAAGCCAGTGTTACATTTAATGCTCTAAACCAGTGATGGCTTTATTGTAATACGGAAGTTTATCGTGGATATATTTCATCTTTTTGGAAAGTAAAATTATCAAAATTTGGATTAATTAATAAGCAACAAGAGAATGTTAGCAATAGAAGTCTGAATTGATAACACATTTTAATATGTACCTTAATCAACAGAAATTTATACATAAATGTATGAAGGAACAATATTAGCATTCAGTAGTGAAGTAGTTGATAACATAAACGCTTGTGAAAATCTGTCTTGTTCTATTGTAAGGCTAAAAGTTAGGAGACCTAAAATATAGTTTAGTTCCAGTCTGTGGCCTATCCATCTTTTTTCTTCTTTGGACTAATACAACCTATTTTGATGTTTCAAAGCCACCACATTTTGACATCTCTATATACAGTGGTGCCCCGCATAGTGATGTTAATCCATTCCAGGAAAAACGTTGCTATCTGGAAACATTGCTAAATGGAACTGAAACCCTCATAGGAATGCATTAAACTCTGTTTAATGCGTTCCTATGGGGGAAAAACTCACTGGTAAGTGAAGATTCCCCATCCGGCTGCCATTTTCGCCACCTCGGTAAGCGAGGGCAGGGCACGAAAACGGAGCGGGCGGCCATTTTTTCTTCCGGTGGCCATTTTGGAACCACCGATCAGCTGTTTTTAGAACATCACAATGTGAAGATCGGTTACTGGTCATCGCAATGCAATGTTTAGCCTATCTAAACATCATAATGCGATCATAAAAATGATCGTAAAATCCGCATCGCTATGTGGATTCGTCGTTAAACGGTGCGCTTGTTAAGCGAGACACCACTGTACTAGTGTGTTCTGATAGTGCAAGGTCTTAAATTGTCTTCTTATTTTCTTTTATGTTGTTAGTGTCTGAACGAAAGTTTTCTTGGACATCTAAATACTCCGTGATCTACATTGACAACCCAGTAAGTTAAAAATGAGTTGATCTTTGTATAACTCTTGTCTGATAAAAACTATGAGTTTAGCAACTATATTTTCATCAGTTTTGAAGAACTCACTACACTACTTGTTGGGCAGTATCCTGTTACTAGTTCCCAAACAGAGTAGACCTGTTGACTCAGTTGGTTTTACATAAGTATTGATGACTCCTGAGCAATTGAATCAAAGGGTCTGCTCATAGTTGGGACTGACAATTTAAAAAACCCTTTTTCTATGATATAGTGTGGTTTGATTCATAGGGTTTTTGTATATTTGGATCTAACTGTGGTGAAGCAAAGCCAAGAGCCCACTAAATATTTTGGATTAAAAGATAAGAAGCAAACTTAGCTTACAGATATGTTGGCAAATGTGAAATGTGTTATGATACACTATTCAAGGGAACAGATAGAAGAATTTAGATTCCTTCTGGACCTGAGAAAGGCTGCAAAGCTGAACTGAAACTGTGCATGGCTGTTATCAGTGTAAGGTTTAACCTCCTTGTATGCTCTGACAAGCAGATATAGTGGCATTTGACATGTGCAAGATATGATACCAGGAACAGACTTATCAACAAGAAGCACGAAGCAAAACAAAATCAAAAAAGAAAAAAGAAAAAAAGAAAGAAAGATGTTGTGGCACCTTAAAGACTAACTGTTATATTTTAATGTAAGCTTTCGTGGAACAAGCCCGCATCTTTAAACATAAGTGACTACATGGTAAAGCATTCATGCAGGGTCTAAGATAAATGGATGGTGGTGTTTGGTTGCATTTTAGACCGAGTCATGATATAAGACTGCTGTTTCATATTCACATCTTTTGAAGCATGGGTCTGTAAACAACAACAATTAAAGAAAACAACAGGGAAACAGCTCAGAGTAGCTGTTCAGCAGCTGGAATCCTTAGTCACCTTTCAGGGGGCAATCTAATGCCAGAACTGGACACACAGAACAGTTTTTCTCTGAATTTTTCTAATCCAAAAGGGAAAACAGATTTTAATCAGAGGGCTGTGGTGCTGCTTAACCCATTTACTGGTAGCATTTCCCACTCAAACACTGTAGTCTAAGCCCCGCCCCTGGAACGTCATCATTATCATCCGTCAAATCAATTCTGACTTATGGCAACCCTTTTCAGGGTTTTCCAGGTAAAGAATATTCAGAAGTGGTTTTCCCTTCCTTTCTTCTGGAGGCACCCTGGAATTGTACAGCTTGCCCAAGACCACACAGGCTGGCTCTACTTGCAGAAGCAACAGTGGGAAATTGAGCTCCCAACAGCAGCCAGATACCTAAACAACTGAGCTATCTAGCCAGCATTTATAATGTATGTGTCTGTGCATAGAAAATAAGCTGGGACCCCCTGCAAAGCTTATTTTGAACAGGGCTAAAATGCATTTTCCCCTCCTTACATGCAGAGAATGTAAGGCTGTCTCTTAGTTCAGAGATCATCAACCCACGGTCCACAGCCCAGCGCCAGGCCGTAGCCTGAGCCGGACCAGGCCGTGAAGACAGACCTCCTGCCCCCCATGCACTCCCCCCAGCTGCTTTGCGCCCACACGTGCATGCCAGAGCTGGCATGAGCGCTCCCCCACCCCTTCACACGAAGGAGTGGGGTGCATGTGCGCTCCAGCACATGCGCAAAGGGGTGGGGGAACGGTTGCGCATGTGCTGACACTCCCCACCACTTTGTGCATGTGCTCAAGACAGAAAGAGCACTCCTTCATGCGTGTGCACGAGCACGGGGGGTGCCCTGCTTTCCTCAGCAGGTCCGCAGATCCAAAAAGGTTGGGGACCGCTGCCTTAGTTGTCACTAGTATTTCAGACTCTGAGAAGATTATGCTCAAATATATATAACTGATATATGAAAGATGGCATGGGTGAATTCAGGTTCGAATCTTGTCCCTTTTTAACCAGGAGTAAGTTGCAGAGAGTTCTGTGAGACTTATATTTGAGTAACACTCATATAGGAGTTCGTGCAAAGACAGCCTTAAAGCCAAGTTACAATTGCTGACAAAACAATGAACTGCTGGATAGCTCAGTGGTTTAGGTCTCTGGAGCCAGAAGTTGGGAGGTCGATTCCCCACTGTGCCTCTTTGACAGGGGCTGAACTCAAAGATCCACAGGATCCCTTCCAGCTCTGCAGGTCTAAGTGTGTATTTGCCTGATGTGAAAAAATGTAACAAAGAGCTGGAAACTAATCCTAGTTCATACCGCTTGTCTTCTTTCCTGACAGGTTGGAACTGGCTTCAGTTTCACAGATGATGAAAAGGGCTATGCAGAGAACCAGGATGATGTAGGAAGAGATTTGTACAGGTAAATCTATACAAGTTAAATTTACAGCTTCTTCTGCAATTTTTTTTCCAAACACACAAAAAAGGTGGCATTGCTGACACTAGAAAACTGCCAAAGTCTTTAGAAACAGAAACAAGATTTTTCTGACATCCATGATTGCGTTTTTGGTAAGGTGTCCCAACTTGTGAATGTGCCCAGCTCTATGTTACTATCATCATAGGCATCCTTCAGTTTTGAGAGACTATGGCTGCGTGCTCTGTATGGAGGACTTGGAACAGCGTCTAGTGTTTTGACGCTGTACATGAAGCTGGAGTGTCCTCTCCAGAGCACAAAGCCTGGGTAAAATAATATGGAGGATAGGCTGTTACCCAACAAGCAAATCCCCCCTCTCCACATCACTGAAATAGTCCAATGGAAAGGCAAGAGCCAATACAGCTGGTTCCAGCAATGTCGTAGGAGTTGACAGAATGACACGAACTGCCTCTGGGACTCCGGCTCCGGATTTTTCCTCGAGGTTAACTCCTGAAGCCTTTCCACTATGTGTCACAATAAAGAGAGTTTGTCCCTGAATACTATTTGTGTGTGACATTTCCCTGTCTTTTTAAGAGATAATCATGGCACAACATAAAGTCCATATCTGTGTTTCCTTATCCAAACTTTGTCAGCCAACACGGAATGAAGCAAACCTTAATATATATTATTGTCCTGTCTTGCCTTTAAGGCTCCCAGAGCAATATAATCCAGGTTTACCATTTCAGTAATTCTGGGAGGCAGATTAAGGAATGATAGAATGAACTTTGAGGCTGAGAGGAGATGTGAATTTCCATCATTCTAGTATACATTCTAGCCACTACCTCAGCTGCTGATCATTCCCCCCAGAGAACATGCATATCTTGCAGTTGAAAATGCCTCTCTTTAGAGATGTTAATATCTAAAATTATGTAATGATCATATAAGCATACGGTGGCTGCATGATCATTACTGAAGATCACTATGAAATTAAATATATAATTGGGAATGAGACTTATTTTAGAATACTTTGGTCTTTGGTTAATGCATTTTAGTAAGGCTTCACATTAATGACTGCTGTGAAATTTCATTGACTCTTCATTCAGTGCAGGCCTTTTACCTGGTCTTTAATTGTATTTCAGTGCTCTTATCCAGTTTTTCCAGCTCTTTCCTGATTATCAGAAAAATGATTTCTATGCAACAGGAGAAGTAAGTGCAGATAACATCCATTTCTTGAGAACTGTTCAGATGACATTCTGTTAGTAAAAAAGACAATGGGGGGGGAGGAATAATGTTATATTACTCAAGAAAGACAAGTTTCTCCACTAATCTAGATAATTTTAACTAACATTTCATACGGGGCTAATGACAGCTTGGAGAAGTGGCATGGAAGGGAAGGATTAAATGCTTTCTTCTTCAACTTCACTACTTGTACCAATATTGGAACCCAGACAGTTGTGTTTGAGTAAAAGGAGATCAAATCAAGAGTTCTAGTAGCAGATCCTGCATGGAATGGTGTGTGTTGTTTTCTTTGTGAAGACTACTTGAAATGGCTTGTAGAGAAAAACAGTTCATTTGTTTTGCTCAGTAGTTAATATACTTGTACCCGTACAGGATTAGGCGCAAGAATCTTAAACACTGGTTTTGTTGAGCCCATGAAAGTCCAATTGAAAAAGACTTACAGCAGTCTGCATACTAGATGAAACTATTCCTTTTGCATAAATTCTGGAAGCACACACAGCATAGAGCGCTTTACCATTCTTCATGTTGATTTCAAGTTATTCACCTCTCCCACGGCCAGACTTTGGCATATTTTATTAAAGGCATTGGCCCTATTGCACAACTTTACTATCATGCAATAAAATTTCAAAGAAGGTACAAATGACGCAAGGCTGTGATTGTAGGACGAGCCCACAAGTATGCAGAAGAAACACACACACAAAAAAAAAACCCAGAAAGTAAACAGAATCCCACAGGAATGTTTGTTTGTTTGTTTGTTTGTTTATTTATTTATTTATTTATTTAATTTATTTAATTAATTAATTTATATCCCGCCTATCTGGTCAGGTGAGGATGTTCTTTGACAAGCATTTTTTCCCTACTTTGTTCACTTTTGAACAAAGTCAATTTTGTTTCCCCTGTTGTGGCAAAAGGCACTGGTGATAATGCAAAAAATGGTATTTTTATTATTGTAGCCTCTTTAAGATTAATAAATATATTTTAAAGTAACACATGTACTTTTTTGGAGATTTATTTCAATGTGTTCTTCATGGATTACAATCCAGTTCTTCAGGCCCATTGTAATCTATGAAAGTTTGCACTGGACTAAATGTGTTAGTCTTAAAGGTACACAGGTGTTATTGCTGAAATAGAAGGTACACAGGTGTTATTGCTGAAATATACAAACATATGAATGTGCCTGATTTATGACACTGAGAAAGAACATCCATAAAACAGTCACCAGGGGGAGCACGTGTGATTTGACATTTCTGCTCCATGTTCTACTCGACAACATTGTATGTTCTTGTGATATAAAAGAGGATTTTCCTACTTTCATTTCACATTGCCCAACCTAAAGGCTATTTTTTTTGGTGAATAATTTTGGCTTCAGCATTAAGTCTGGCAGCACTGATTTTTAGATTAAGAGCTTAGATCTTCTTGTACAGCAGTTTTGTTTACCACCTTCTTCCAGTGCTCCTTGTTTTGGTCTGCAGTTAGTTTCAAATGCATCCTGCCAAAACTGAGTTCCTTTTTGCATTGTAAATAGCAGTGCTGTTGCTAACAGCAAAGCAGTTTGGTTTTTGATAATAACTACTCACATATGGAATGCACTAGTTCCACTTGAGAGACAATTCTATTTTCATTATGGTTTTGTTCTCTGAATATGCAGATTCTCTCTAACTTGGTCCAACAAGAAAGCCTTTTTATTTAGTTTTGCCCAAACAAAGATAATTAGAAGTGATAGAAATAGGCAAAGGGGAGGAAGGAGCAAGAAAATTAGCTTTGGTAAGTTTTTTTGTATTTGTAGGCTGGCATATCACTGGGCTTTCATAATATCAAATCATCTAGAGAAATGAAAAATGGAGTGTTTATTTGTGAAGGGGGATAAAAATGTCAGCTGTTCCTGAGGAGAACTAAGATAAAATGTCTGATATGTAAAGATGTGGAGAGTATTTGTGGGAAGTGGGGAAGAGTCTTTTGGCAAATGATGCAGCTCTCTCACTTTATTTATCAGAAATATATTGCTTTAATTGTGGTGACTCTCATATCTGTGGATCATTGGTTTCAATCAGATTGGCTGATACAGCAATGGTTGGGCTTCTGTGACAGAAGCTGATTATGTCATTTTTAAACACACATACATCTTTCCAGGGAATTCTGTGAGGATCTTTTACATTATCTAATTCATCTCATGTCCATCTTGACCTGAGTATTTGACTATATTTATTGTAAGTGCTTATTCTTCTTCCAGAACTTTCTTAAATTCTTTAAAGATCTGTAATTTGTAGAGGTATGCAGATCTGTGCTTTTGTACTTGCCTGAATAGGGGGAGCTTTTAAAGTCAGTGCTGGTCCCAATCCTGGCAGCACTGAAGGCTTCCACTCATGTTCTGAGGCTACTAAAGGCTTTCCCAGGTCCAAAGGAATCCCTAGGAAGCCTCGGAACCTGAGAAGAGTAGAAAATTTCAGATAAAAGATTAATGTCAGCAGCTGATGACATAATCAATATTTACCTGCATGGTGTCACTCAATGAGATTTCAGCCAGAATGTGAACTTGTATGTCTACTCTGAATTAAGTCTGATCTGCCAGAGTTCTATTATTCACATACAGTGAGATAAATCACATAGCCTAAGTCTACGAATGAGCTGCCGGTAGTTAAGAAGTCAACACTTTACATTTCTTGTTGTGTGCCAATCACACAACTGCTGATCTCTTAATTAGCAGCAATTCCCTTCTGAGATTTATGCCATTTGACTACACTAGCATGTATAAGTAATAGAATTCTGGCCACTGAGTTCAGTGAAACTTACTCCTGTGTAAGCATTTTTAGAATTTGAGCCTTTAGATCAGTGGTTCTTAACCTTGGGTTACTCAGGTGTTTTTGGACTGCAACTCCCAGAAGCCTTTACCACCAGCTGTGCTGGCTGGGTTTTCTGGGAGTTGCAGTTCAAAAACACCTGAGTAACCAAGGTTGAGAACCACTGCTTTAGATAATAAGAGTGATGCATGAAACATAGACTTTGCTGACTATTTTCTTCATTACCTTTAGTCATATGCAGGGAAGTACGTGCCTGCCATTGGCTACTATATTCATACGCATAATCCTACAGCGAAACTAAAGATCAACTTCAAGGGTGTTGCCATTGGAGATGGCCTCTGCGACCCTGAATTGGTATGATCTCTGTATATTACATGTATTCAGTTTTTTGCAGATGTTAAGGGAATTGTGATAAATAAACTGAATGCTTAATATATACAGTATATATATATTTTATACACACATGCGCGCGCGCACACACAGACACACACACAATTTGCAGATGTTAAGGGAATTGTGATGAATAAACTGAATGCTTAATATATATATATATATATTACACACACACACACACACACTGTCGCAGGTAACTACCTATGGATGCCACATGTTCCTTGGGATCAGATTAGTAAATTAGCTACAGTTCTGCACGGAGTTTCCATGTAGTCAGGTTTTACTGCAGGCTGTAAATTATTTCAAAGTTGGCAGCATGCCTTTTATCTCAGCTGAAAGCATTGACTTATTTTAAAAAAAGTTTTTAAGTGGCATTTTAGAATATGAGAATGGTTCTGATTGATATTGCTTATTCTTTACATTCTCTTTACAGATGTTGGGTGGCTATGCCCAATTTTTGTATCAAATTGGCTTGGTGGATGAGAAGCAGAAGGATTACGTCCAGAATCAGACTGATCTGGGAATCATCTATATCCAGCAGAAGAAATGGCGAGAAGCCTTTGAAGTACGTATTAGAGGCCCACCTTGGCTGCCAGCAATTAAAACCATCTGAACCAAGTAAGGGAGTGAGAAGGAAGCAGAATGGAGGCTACCAGCTTGGTGTGGTGGTGAGATGGGACCATGTGAACTGCAGCAGAAGAGGCAGGAAAAGGAGGGCTAATGGGAAGAAATAATCACCGTCCCATCTCTCTGCAAAATTTAATTTGGCCTCTTTTCAAAATTGAGTGGCTTAATGTTTGTTTGCATAGGCATCTCTGTCATGAATCGTTTCACTTTTTCAAAGTTACTGCTCATATGCCTAAAAGATTTAGCTTATCTCCATGAAATCAGAAGCAATGCAGTCTTGTAACTTGTTGCTTCAGCTGGCACACAACCATAATAATTTTTAGATCCATAAATAATGGCTGCAGTTTTGATCACTCCCACCCCATCCTACCCCAACCTTCTAAAAGAGGCTGGAAAACCCCTATCACACACTTCAGGCTGATAGCTGATATGAATGTATATTTGTGCTAAATTGCATTTCCAGTACAGGGTCAACAAAGGCAAAATCCTTCCATGTAATATTTCTATGTACATGTGCATTTTGTCCAAACCCCCACTGTTTGAATTGCACTGCGGCTTGCACCTTTTTAAAATACTTATGGAAAATAACATGCAGAATTAAGTAAACAATTGACAGCAGGCTGGATTCACATGTAACAATATATGGAGTAAATTCACTGGAATCAATGGGATTTAAGTTAGTTACGGTTCACCTAAGTCATATTTCCCTGTGTTGATTTTAAGCATGAGTACATCTGCATCAAACCCATTAGATTCTAAACTGTGCTCCTGGTTCTCTTTTCATAGGTGTTTGATCAAATGATCAATGGTGATCAAACTGGAAGCCTATCCTATGTTCAGAATGTTACTGGATGTACCAATTATTACAATTTCTTGCAATGCCAGGTGAGCAGACCTATATGTGATAAGCTGGGTGTATTTGAATTGTGTTCTTTAAATTCGGAGAATTACATTCTACAGTGGTGCTTCGACTTACGAACTTAATCCGTTCCGGAATGGTGTTCGTAGCTCGAAATGCTTGTAAGTCGAAGTACCATTTCCCATTGAAATGCAGGGAACGCGATTAATCCGTTCCAGCATTTCAAAAAAAGAAGTCGAAATACCATTTCCCATTGAAATGCAGGGAATGCGATTAATCCCTTCCAGCATTTCAAAAAAATACCCTCCCAAAAAATAAAGCACACAGAAAGCCCCATCAGAAGACGCTGGGGCTTTAAAAGGAAACAACAACCAAAAATATACAGAGCAAGCCCCAAAGGCTGCAAAAAACCAACCCAAAAATAAACAGCAAGCAATCCCCACACTGGGACTGGAAAAAAAACCCACCCACGCCTCTCCTTCCTCCTCTTGCGCTGTAGGAGTAAAAAAGTTCCCTGACCTCTTGCTCTAACCGTTCGGGGTGAAAGAGCTACAAAGAAGCAGCCTCTTCGCCACCAACGGTTTGAATTTCCCACCTTTCCCCTCTGCCTTTTTCTGTTCTTACATCAAAGCTCCGCTCCCAAGTCGACGCGAACATTTGCAAGCGGAGCTGTTCGTAAGTCGAAATGTTCATAGGTAGGGGCGTTCGTAAGTCAAGGCACCACTGTATACTACAAAAGTACAACAAAGGTTTGCAGTGGTTCCATGGGCTACGGCTGTTTCAAATGCTATTAGGGGAGGTGGTGACAATTGTATCCTCTCAATCTCTCTCTCTCAGCTGTGTCAAATGCTATTAGGGGAGGTGGTGGCAACAATTGTATCCTCTCAATCTCTCTCTCTCTCTCTGTGTTCCTCAAAGCTAATTGCATGCTTAAGACCTTGGCCAGGTCCAGAAATGAAGGAAATCTTCTGCACCTGCTGCAGTGCAGATTATTTCTATGGGTTACATCTGCCTCTGTACCCCTTTCTGCCTGCTAGATAAGCCTTGTTTAGCTAGAGAAAGTGAAGTCATGCAACTTAGTTTTTAGTGGAGACCAGGAGGTCTGTTTATGGTTCTTCGAGAACTGATAGCTCTTAACATTTAAGCAAAGAGAACAATTTCACGAGGGATCTCTAGTCCCAGTTCTATGGGTGAAGGATGTTGCAGTAAAAGGTCACACAAGCACACATTCTAATCAGTGATTATCAGGCAGGCTGCTTATTCCTATTGGCTGTTATAAATACATAGAAATTCAATTTTCAGAAGCAGCATGCAAGGTGCTGAGGGCCAACCATAGGGTAGAGCTGATGCCTTCAAATCCAGTTTATACAGTGTTGGAACCCAATAGTGTAGTGGCCTGGTCGAGAAAGCTTTTCTTTTTTTCCCCTCTTGCATTCGTATTGACAATAGAGTGTTCACTTAAGTTTGCCATGATTAAAACTAGCTGTCATGTTGCCTGCATGGGACACGGCTCCAGACAGATTGTATTTACATTAAATGTAAAGAATGGATTCCTTGTCTTTCTCTTCTGATCTCTTATAAATGCCATGAGTTTTCAGGACCTGACCCACTGGGGTTTTCCTCTATAACACTAATAGGTTTGAACATGTTAAATTGCTTCATTATTTCAGCTTTTAACATGAATCTGCAAGGGTCAGCTAACATAATCCTTACTGGCGTGGTAAGTGTTGGAGTGGAAAAGAAATCTCTGTAGTGCGGACTGATAGTTTGGATGTACTTCTTTCTTGTGCTGGCTTCATGAAGTCATTTCTTCTTTTTCTCGTTCCAGGAGCCTGCAGATCAGGGATATTTTGGACAGCTGTTAGCCTTGACAGAGGTGAGGAAATCTATCCATGTTGGAAACCTGACCTTCCATGACGGCTCTGTAGTTGAGAAGCATTTGCTTGAGGATGTGATGAAGTCAATAAAGCCATGGTTGGCTATCCTGATGGACAACTATAGAGTAAGTGAGATGCCACCCACCCACTTCTTCATAAATTTAAGAACATTCAGAATAGTCTTGATACTTTATCCGCCAAATATTTTGCTGTAACCTGATTTTGGATCAATAAAAGAAGACTGGAATATAGCAATTCTGTAGCTAGTAAAAGTTGTAATATGCATCATAAGAAATGAATTAAAGAATTTGAATTTACATTTTTTTTCAACATTGGAGATGATTGTCCACCACTGGAAACTGTTCCTGTGCATTAAAAGGTAACGGTAAAGGTTCCCCTTGACAATTTTTGTCCAGTGGTGTTCGACTCTAGGGGGCGGTGCTCATCCCCGTTTCCAAGCCATAGAGCCAGCGTTTGTCCGAAGACAATCTTCCGTGGTCACATGGCCAGTGCGACTTAGACACGGAACACTGTTACCTTCCCACCGAGGTGGTCCCTATTGATCTACTTGCATTTGCAGGCTTTTGAACCGCTAGGTTGGCGGGAGCTGGGACAAGCGACGGGCGCTCACTCCGTCGCGTGGATTCAATCTTACGACTGCCGGTCTTCTGACCCTGCAGCACAGGCTTCTGTGGTTTAGCCCGCAGCGCCACCACATCCCTTCCTGTGCATTAGCAATTTGTAAAAGTTTATTTTTTGTGACATACTGTTTTCTTGGATTAGACCTATTTATTTGAAGAAATTAATTCACCGTGTGAGAGCCATACTCCATTTGCCATTCTCTCATTCCTGCCACTTCACAGATGTTGTTTGGTAGAGACAGAGGAGAGGGACTTCTCTGTTGCCATTCCCAGACTTTGGAACTTGCTCCAACAAGAGGCCAGGCTGGCCCCATTGTTGCTTCCTTCCGCAAGCAGGCAAAGACCTTCATCTTCAGGCAAGCTTTCCCCGAATGACTGGCTGCCTGAGCGGGGGGTTTTAAATGGATGGTGGTGCCTTTTATGATGTCTTTAAGACAAAATACACGCTTACAGAATTTTCCCTTTAGTTTTACTTTCAGTTTTGTTAGAATACAGAAGTCTAAAGTTCTTATTAATATCAAGGTTTTTGTTAAATGTTGTGTTGTATGTTTATGCATTATTGATTTTAGTGGAATACACTGGTGTAGAGATTATGATTGTGATTGTGGTTATGATTATTACTGGTTTGAAAATATAGAGCAAAATCTACCAGAATAATCTGTGAGTTATATTGTGGTGCTTCTGCTTCCCATGTAAAACTTAATGGTGTAAGCCTTGCCACCACATCTATGCATTCTGATTTTGGCTGTGTATGGAGATCTTTATGTTTGGAGAGAATCTAAAGCCATGCCAAGTGCTCTCAAAACAAAAAGTCTTTTATAGGATATAAAGTATTCCATGAAAGACTGCAGTGTAGTCACTACACAAAAGTGTTTGTTTGGGGGTTTTTTAAACACTTTTCCAACCAGTACAACAGTGCATCTGTTGCCATTTTTGGTCTATATTTCATGCCACTACTACTTCAAAGGCTGATTTCCATTGAGCTTTGGAGGCAAAAATTTGAAAAATGGAAGAGGTACAACAAAGCAGGCCACTCCTCAGAATGTTCAGGATTGCTTCAGTCCAGCTGAAATATATTCAGTTCACTGTAGGACTGTGAATGGGTTCATTTTCTGCCCCCTAGCTTGCATCCCTCTGCTGGTTCCTGTCTCTCTCCACTCTCCCACCCTTAACAAGCAAAAATTAGTGCCTCACATTTTGTCCACAGGGAATGTTACTGGATGGCATCGTGTTTAGCTCCTTCTTTGTGTCTGCATTGTGTATTAGAATGATGAGATGACTACAGGTTTGAAACACTAGATCCTGTCATGAAACTATGTTTTTGGGGATTCATCAAACTAACACCCCTTGCAAGCAACAAGAAAATGATTGTAAGCTTGGGTTACAGAGGGCTCTAATTTTACAGGGGAATGATTGGGAACATTCCCTTTGAGTGGAAATGCAAAGGCCTGATTATTTTGGAGGCAAGCAACAGATTCTGTCTCCCCCCCCACACCCCCACCACTGCCTCTTTCTGGCCTTTGTGAATGTGATGATCTCACACACCAATCACGTTTGACCTTTTAGCAATATCTCTGAGTGGAAACGAAGCCATTTGAGAGTGAGAGCAGTGCAGTTTCTGTTACACTGCTGGATGGGAAGAAGGGGATGTGACTAAAAGATGCAATGGTAGGAAATGGGCGGGGATGCCAGTATCAGCAGGCAGCTGCCCAACATCTAGATGATGCAGGCTCTTTCAACTCCAACTCCAGCACCTCCCTGCAGAAAAAATATATGTTTGAAGATCAGACTCCTGTTTAAATGACTGTAATTTTGGGCCCCTCTCCATTGTGCCTGAATGAAGATGAGAAGATGGGAGGTATGCTTCAGGACACCTCTCATTGTCACAGTCAGAAATTGCACATTTCAGAAAGAGAAAATATCATTCAGGGTTTTGTTTGCTTGTTTCAAGCTTTAGATTTCGGTCTCCTAGACCAGTTTCCTTCACGAGGATACACCAAATGAAAAATACCCTGTTCACCACACTTTAGTATGCAAGGTGTCTATGATCAGAGTGGATGCTAGAGCCAGAGAGACTTCCAAGGCTTTATTCTTCTGAACTTTATATTGATTTGTATACATTTTCTAGGTTCTCTTATACAACGGACAACTTGATATTATCGTTGCAACCCCGCTGACAGAACGATTTCTCCCAACTGTGCCATGGTCCAGAGTAGATGAATACAAGAATGCTAGAAGAGTTGTATGGAAAATAAATGCAAAAGATCTAGAGGTAGCTGGCTATGTGCGCCAGGCAGGTGACTTCTATCAGGTAAGGCAAGGAATTAAACAGGATTTAAATCAAGAGTTTTTTTGAGCAAGGGATTTGACTGGCTACTCTGTTTTTGTGCCTTACTAAATTATGTAACCACCCACCCACTCAATTTCATTAAAAGAAGCTCACCCTAAGCTTGTACAGGGAGCTCTCCCCTAAGCTTAGAGTAGGAATAAATCAGGATTTTGTTTTTCTTCAGCCAAACCCTGATTTCTGCTTGCAGATCAGGAATTGCAGTTTAAGGTAAATGATGGCTTGCTAAACAAGCCAATGTTTCTAGCTGGCTTGTTTAGCAATTGGCTAGAATTTACATCCTGATTCTTGCATCAAAAGAAATAGTCTTTGTTGTTGTCATCATTGTCATCATTTTAGAACTGCAGAGCCAGAACGAACCTTATAGATCACTGAGTCCAGCCCGTCAAGGAGGCACAGTGGAGGAATCAAACTCCCAACCTCTAACTCTGCAGCTAGATGCCTAAACCACTTAGCTATCCAAACATAATGAAGCTATATCATAATGTATTTCTCCTCCTGATTATATGGGAAAGACAGGAGGAGGGCTATGGCTTTTGCTCATTTTTTGGGGAAAGTTACTTTGTTTGGACTGTAACTCCCAGAATAGTCCAACCAACAATGGTCATAGGTCAGTAGTTCCTGTCTCTAATTGTTTCAGTTCTAATTACAGCATATTAACCTCTCATTGCTTCCAAACCCCAAGGATATTAGTGTTTATTTTAATACTGATTTGAATCAAAGCTAAAAACAGGCCAAGTCTTGAAAGGTGCTTCGGTTCTAAGAGATGTTTTATCAGACTTAAACAAACATCTATTTAGCTGTTGGTCTCAGTAGATAAATTTGGAGTATATATATGTCTGGGGGAAAAAACTGATCAGATAATTTCTATGGATTCAATTTTTTTCTCCCCAGAATTCAGAAAACATTTGTTTATATATACTGTGATCTTTCAAACAAAACAGATTTACATTTATGGCACAGTGACTGCATCTGGCCAGAAGATGCAAACTTGGTTAAAAGAGATTAGTTTCCTTTTGAACTCATGAAAAGCCATGGATGTTGACATCCTACAGCCGCTGCCCTTCTTTATTTTTAAACACAGAGGTCGGAGAGGAAGCTTGGGTCCCTGTAATGTAAGCAAAATCTCTGTACTGTTCTATTAATTTTGTGCATGTGTACGAATGCCACTTGGAACTGAGCCCTGTGAGCTTAGCTGGCTAATTCCCGACAATACCCCCCCAGCCCCACCACCAATACAGTGTGATCCTTTTGAAGTGAGGTGGACAAGGAAGAGAGATGCAGCTGTTTACTGAAGCAGCCTTTGTGTGTGTTGGTGACTTCAATCCTTGCAGTTTTGATTGGAGCCTGGAATAGTATTGGAGGCCTCCCCCGAGCATGTAGTAGTGTTTAAGCATGGCAGTCATTGGATCAAGGAGAGGAGGACTGTGCAGAAGGACATAAAGTGTGACTGTTGGTGCTTGTGGTTCCAGCAAAGCCTAAATAAAATGAGTGTGGTGGGGGCTGTGGTTTGAAGCCAGTTAACAACATTCAGTGTACATAGCACTTCTTCAAGAAATGGCCACATCTGGTTCCTGTGAGGGGAAAGACCAGCAGTAGATTATTAGGCATGAAGCCTGAACTCATTCTCACCCTGGAAAGGATGTGCTTTCCTAGCTGAAGCTGAGGGCCTCCTGCATTTGGCCATTTCCCTGTTCTCACATTTCCATCCCTTTTTAGTTCAATACGTCTGCCTTTGGATCCATCCATAAATAAATTATGCTAACTGTGGAAAATAAACAGAATTGTCTGTACTATCAAACATGCCTTAAAAGTAAAGCAATATTCAAGGTGCAGTGGTGCCTCGACTTACAAACATCCCGACATACGGCCATTTTGAGTTGCGACCAGCTCCAGCCGCAAAATTTTGCTTTGACTTGTGGCCGGAGCTTTGAGTTATGATCAGAAAAATGGTGTGGAAAAAGGTGGGGGAATTTAAATTACAGGACTAACTTTTGGTCAGCGAAGAGCTTCTTTGTAGCTCTTTCGCCCCACTAGTTAGTGTGCACGCGTTTGCAGAGAGGCTTTGGACTGCCTGGTGCTGCTTTCTGCTTCTGGGTGAGTACATTTACATGGTTTTGCAGGGATTACAGGGTGGGTTTGAGTTTGGGGGGGTTATGTTTCTGTGCTGTGATTTTTTTTTTAGTATGTGTTTTCCCCCAGCCCCATCGCATTCTGATGGAGCTGGCTGTGGGGTGTGTGTGTGATTTTGCTTTCCCCCCCCAGCCCCATGGTGCTCCAATTGGGCTGGCTGTGTTTGTGGGGGGGGTTAATTTTTCCCCAGCCCCATCATGTTCAGATGGGTCTGTCTGTGTGGAGGTTGACTTCCCCCCCAACCCCATCGTGTTCCAGTGGAGCTGGCTGTGGGGTATGTGGGTGTGTTTGATTTTTTTCACCAGCCCTATGGTGTTCCAATGGAGCTGGCTGTGTGTGTGGGGGGGTGTTTGATTTCTTTTCCCCAGCCCCATGGCATTCCGATGGGGCTTGGAGTGTTGTTTGTGTGTTTGTGTGTGTGTGTGTGAGAGAGATAGAGATAGAGATTATTATTTTTGTCTGAAACATATTAATCGCATTCCAATGCATTCCTATGGGAAATGGTGGTTCGACTTATGACCATTTTGAGTTACGCCCATCTTCTGGAACGGATTATGGTTGTAAATCAAGGCACCACTGTAATACTGTGATTTATTTTGCTGGTGCAAACTGCAGGTTGGTTACAGCCTTTTTGATTCCCTCACTCACTCCCCACTCACTCAGTAAATGAGATATTAACAGTGTGGCTGCTCCTGTTTCTAGTAACATCATATGGAGAAGGGACCACAGCTCAAAGAAAATCTCATTCTTGGTCCCTGGCCACTAAAGGGATAGGATAGCAAGTGATGGGAAAGAAAGCCCTCTGCCAGAGATCCTGTGGAGTAGATGGTAATGGTCCAAATTATTAAATTAGCAAAGCAGAATATGACCAAATGAATGTTCCTCTGCTATTTCCAAGCATACAGTGGACCCTCGACTTACAGACGGTTCGACTTACAGACTTTTTGAGTTACAGACTTCTCTGGCTGCAAAATTTAGGTTCAACTTGCAGCCGGAGAATTGACCTACAGACCAGAAGCAAACCAAAATGGAACAAAAATGGAACAAAAACGGTTGGTTATGGATTAATCGGTTTTCGGTGCATTGTAGGTCAATGGAGACTCGGCCTACAGACTTTTTGACCTGCAGTCACAGTTCCAATACAGATCAATTCCGTAAGTAGAGGGTCCACTGTACTATAAGAAAACAGGTGTATTGGAAAGGAGATTTTCTGTATAAAAGATATTAACACTTTGGCTGGAATCCTGTTGCTTAACATAGCAAGTCATACAAGAGGAGGCCCATTGATCCAGTGGGGATTTGAACCACAAGTTTCATTGGTTCAAATAGGCCTGCTCTAGTGGCACATTGTGAAAAAAGTCGAAACTCAAGTAGACCCGTTTGAATCATTGAAGCCTATGGGACCTCCCAATTTCCTGGGACCTACTCTTACTACACTAAGCAATGGGATTTCAGTCACTATTTCATGGAGTTTAGTGGGATCCATGAGCATAGAGGGAAGCTACATGTTACATCCTGAACTTAGAAACTGATTGTTTTAACAGCAGCTTATCTTTTCAAGGTGTTAAGCATACTTTTTAAAAATACCAATGAATGCAAGAAAATGGTAGTTGTGGGTTTTTCGGGCTCTTTGGCCATGTTCTGAAGGTTGTTCTTCCTAACGTTTCGCCTGTCTCTGTGGCTGGCATTTTCAGAGGACAGCACTCTGTTCTCTGGTGTAGTTTGCTTGGGAGTGGAGTATTCATGGCTGTGAGATGGGCTTTTGTCTTTTTCAGGAGATAGGTGATTAGTATGTCCTGTTGTGGGTGTATTGTTGTGATAAGGAGGAGAGATTATCTGTCACTGTGATTGATGGGTATCAAGTAAATGTTTGAACTCAGATTTGTTATTTCACATGCATGATGACACAGCTTCCCACAGATGCATAAACTAGAGTAAATCATTAGTAAGGATTGTAACACAGTTCTCCCCTTTTTTTTCTTCCATGCATTTTTGCTTTTTGTAATGCCACTGGATGTCGTAGCAAGAGCCGCTGTGTTGCCAGGTTGTCCATAATTTTCTTCCTCCACAAAGCCCTTTGCCTATTCATTTTAGGACATGGTGGTGGTGAAACTTTGCAAATTGTTCTGCTTCACTTTTTTGTTGAAGCTTTAGAACTTATTCTGCAAAATGGCCTCTTTTTTTTGCTAGGGAAGTAAGAAACGAAAGAAAATCTCTGTATATTTCTCCAGATATGTCTTCTGAGAAATTTTGCTTCAGCGCTATTTGATATTCTTCAGGATTCTTTAGGGTTCAGCATCTGGGTGCATCTGGAGGCTTCCATGTCTTAGCTTTGGGGGGAGTTATTGTAGCTACATTTTGTCTGCCTTGAGACAGATGACTACTAGAGATGGGCACCTATTGGGGTTTGGTGGTTCTGTGTGGTTTGCAGGTGTTACTTGGTTGCCCCAGTTTCCAGTCCCCGCCTCCTCCCATGGACACCCACTCAGAGGAAAAGGCTGGGCAGGGAAGCCTGCAGCACTGCTTCTTATGGGGCACACATGGGAGGAGGCGGGGTGTGGAATCCAGGGTGTCCATGCAACACCTGTGGGCCCAGTCTTCCACACTGCACCGAACCCATCTGTAATGACTACAATACAGCTCCTTTCATATAAGCCCAGGTTATGAGCAAAGGCAATATTTTGTTCAGATTCGGGAAGAAGGTGAAACTATGTATTTATTTATTTATTTGATTTATACCCCACCTTTTCACTGGAAAATAGTGCTAAAGGCTGCTTACAAATTTTTGAAAGAATAAAAGCCAATAAAATCACATTCAGCAAAAAATAATGAAATATAAACCAGCCCTGTCATACAAACCATTAAACCATTAGAATGGAGCAAACATTAAGCATTAAAATTAAGCAACTGGTGCTGTGTGCCATAATTTGTCACCCAGACACTTCTATTTTTATGCCTCATTCTTGGGGCCCTTGCAGATTTGTTTTCATTGATTTTTCACCTGACGATGGCATTGAAAGGTATCCAAGGGTGTTGCGTATCTTTTTGTTTTTCTTTCTACTGTATTTGCATATCTCTGCCCTTATCCCGCTTCCCTGGCTTCCCACCCTTCCACGTTAAAAAAAAGTCCTGTGACTTTAAAGTGTCTTCCTCTGGACTTTAAGTGTGGGAAATTGAGAAGGCCTACCACAGAGATGATGGTACAATGAAAGAAAGTACATTTGTATGTATCCTCAGCTGCTTCTTTAGTAGGCACAAGAATCCCAAAGGGTCATCCATGAGAATTCATTCAAAATTTCTTCTCTTTTGAAAATTGTTTTTAAAAGTAATTTTGTTTGTATCAAGCAGAAAGAGAATTATTGAAAGTATCATGGGATACATTTTTGATACAGCACTAGTTGCTAGACTTACTCTCTATCAAATGACCAAAGTCACATTTTGCAGTATTTGACTCCTTCTGGTCCAAAGGAGAGGGTTGTTTGGTTCGATCTGTAGCTGTCATTAGAGATCCAACTTGAAATGTTCTGAGGGGGAAATGGTTATTCTGTTGTGTTTTTTCTTTTCTATTCTATTTTTTCAGTGTTGAATGGAGCTTCACAGTCCATGTGGGTATGATGAGATCGGAACCAGTCTTTAGGAGTACTACCAACACATGATATCTTTGGCCTAGTACTGAGCTGGAACTCATGGGAGTTGTAGTCTAAAAATGTTGGGTTGTACCAGTTGTCTGCCATGTGGCATGGAGCCAGAACATCACTGATTTAATTCTTCATAGTATTTATCAGGACAATATTTATTATGTCTGAGGTATTATTTCTTCTTTTTCAAGCTATTTCTACTTTATTTTTATTTAGGTGGTTGTTCGAGGTGGAGGACATATCTTGCCTTATGACCAACCTGAAAGATCTTTAGACATGATTGACAGGTTTATCTCAGGAAGAGGATGGGAAGCCAATGGATACTGAAAATTCATCTTAAGCAAAGCAGCCTTTAACATTTCAATAATCAGCAGAGTACCTTTAACCAAGAGGTGAAATCAAAAGTACTGAAGACTATAATGTCACCATGTGATTTTCTTTCCTTGCTCAAAATCTTCATTGATTAAAAATTAATGTGGAGGAAGTGATTATCGGAGACTGTCGTTCATATTTATTTATGAAAAATGTGTAATATGTAAAGAAGGTACTCAAGAACCGGCTTTGGAAAGCATCCTTGAAAGATGCCCCACCTACAGCCATCTTGTGTACTTTCGTTAGTAGGCTGACTCTTTGCAGAGAAGAATCTTGTTGAAGAATATGCAACACACATATAGTGGATTTGTTTTCCCCTTTTTTGCTGCAGGATTATGAGCTAGGCAAATTCAATACTTAGGTACCTGGATTTCCTTATTTGCCTCATTTAGCATCATAATGAATTAGGCAGGGTTTTTTTAAAGAAAAATTCATGAGAGACTTGAATTCTTGCTTTACTCTTACTCCTACTGTTATTCAGCCATGCCAGGTCTAAAGCATCGTCATGTTTAACAAACATGAGAGAAGCCATGTGGTATGACAGCAGGAAACGCCTGGCTATGTATAAGCTGCTTGAAATTTTTGCTGATCTGTATTGGTAGCGTTTGTCAACCTTACAGTGGTACAGTATATGATACTATTCACCATCAACTGCTGCTTAAAAAGCCCTACCTCCTTACTAACGATCACGAACTAATAGAAATGGCCACTGTTCTACTTCAAGACCAGAGATTCTTTGTTGAATTTTAAGGGAAGCATAGTTACGGGGGAAATCAAAGGAATTGTCTTTCACAGGGGTGTGTCCTGGAACTATTGCTTTTCAACATTTACACACATGATCAACCAACATTCCCATATTCCATGAGTTTCATCTGTGCAGATGGTCTTGTCTTGACAATCCACAGGGAAACATTTCAGGCCACCAAGTACCAGCTACCCTCTCCATTAGAACATCTTTCCTTATAGCATAAAAACAACCAACTGAAACCAAACCCTTTAAAAGCAGAGGTCTGTGCACTCTACTTAAAGAACAGAGAAGCAGCTTTGAGTTAGCTGGGAAGGCAAGATTTTGCCTTACCCTAAAGTATTGGGATGGTACTCCGGATTGAACTTTGAGCTGCAAAAAATAAATAAATAAATAAATAAATAAATAAATAAATAAATAAATAAATAAAAGTCTAAACACCAAATGGAAAATTTCTGGCAGAAATAACATACTTAGGAAACCGGCTGGGTCAGACTGTGTTGCACACCCACAAACAATAAGAACAGCAGCTTTGTGTTGTGCTACTCCACAGCAAAAAGGGATGTGGTGGTGCTGCGGGTTAAACTGCAGAAGCCTCTGTGCTGCAGGGTCAGAAAGACCAGCAGTCATAAGATCGAATCCACGTGATGCAGTGAGCTCCCGTCACTTTGTCCCAGCTCCTCACCAACCTAGCAGTTTGAAAGCATGCAAATGTGAGTAGATAAATAGATGTCACCTCGTTGGGATGGTAACAGCGTTCCAAGCCTAAGTCGTGCTGGCCACGTGACAACAGAAACTGTCTTCAGGCAAATGCTGGCTCTACGGCTTGGAAACGGGGATGAGCACCGCCCCCTAGAGTCAGACACAACTGACTAAATGTCAAGGGGAACCTTTACCTTTATCTTACTCCACACCAGAATGTGCTAGTGTCATATGGTATAAGTCAGCACATGCCAATCAAGTGAATGTAGCTCTAAATGAATTGTGTAGGATTAATACTAGCTGCCTGAAACCTACTCCCCCCACCCCAGAAAAGATTTATTATTTGGCTGGCATTGCACTAGGCTAAACCTGTGGAGAACATAAACAACACACCTTGCTGAATGCATGAATGTTGAAGAATATCTTCCACCAAGACAAGACTCTAGCTGGATGATCTGGGCTTCAGTTAATAGAGTTCAAAATGAAGTAGGAAGATCAAAGAATAATCAAGTAAAATAGGGCTATTTTGTTAGAGGGCAAATTTTCTGTGACTGTGAAATCAATGCAGCACTTTTGTGAATGCAATTCATGTCCAGGTCCCATGTGCAAAAGCAGATCTAGCTAATGATAATTGCTATTAAAGTAGCCCACTTCTGGTCAAAAACAGTCTAAGTATCTTAATATTTTAATTTATTTTTAATATCACCTATATTTTATATATGTCCACAATTTTAAATTGTGCAATGCTCTGATATGGCTAAAGAAAGAAATACCTACAAATTCAATAACCCTTTGGATAGGGCCGCAGTAGATGATGGAATAGTAACATATATTTCAAAGATGCCAAATGAGGGTTTTCTGGATTATGATAGCTGTACACAATCTTCATGGCATCTCAGTTTCTTGGGACACAGAATGTGCATATCTGTCTTCAGGTTTTCACTCACTGCATATTTTCATTTGAAAGATATGCAACCACAGGAGATGGATGAAATATGTAGACCCCAGGGAACATTAGTCACATAATATAAAAGCCATAACATGGCTTGAATTCTTGAGTTGAAATCCAACATTGACACTGACTGTGTGCATATGTCTAGGATGGCAAGTTGTCTCCAAGGGTTTTAGTTTGTGTGACAGTAGAGACGTATATTTAATATTTTAGCTTGCAATTTACGTTACAAAAGTATAAGAAGTTCCCTTTTCAAAATTCAACTTCCACTTCTGCAAGAGATCTTATGGTGTTGATGCAGTAGAACACTATTTTTGGAACTTAATTTGATATAAACACCACCGGCCTTTTGATATAAACATCCAACACATCTCTTATTATAATAAAAGCAGATGATATGACTTAAATCACCCATCATTGCTGTACACAGGTAAGTAACGTTTAAAGTTTCAATCTTGTGGAAATATCCGATTTCGGTATTCATGAACACCACTCTGCTTAAACACCAGTGTTCTCAGCACCAAATATGACAGCTTTCAATCTAGGAGATGCTTAGGTCTAATTGAAAAACAAATTATCTAAGCAGAGGACAGCGTCCTATATCAGTACTCAGTAGGATAGCAGAAATTCTTTCACTTTGACAAGGAGTCAAAAAGTGGTGGCGCTGTGGGCTAAACCGCAGAAGCCTCTGTGCTGCAGGGTCAGAAGACCAAGCAGTCGTAAGATTGAATCCACGTGATGGAGTGAGCTCCCGTCGCTTGTCCCAGCTCCCGCCAACCTAGCGGTTCGAAAGCATGCAAATGCGAGTAGATTAATAAGGACCCCCTTGGTGGGAAGGTAACAGTGTTCGTGTCTAAGTCACACTGGCCATGTGACCACGGAAGATTGTCTTCGGACAAAACACTGGCTCTATGGCTTGGAAACGGGGATGAGCACCACCCCCTAGAGTTGAACACGACTGGACAAAAATTGTCAAGGGGAACCTTTACCTTTACCAAAAAGAATATGCTCATCATGCTCAAATGGTCTTCCACATGCCTGCCATTGCATTGTAAAGCTGCAATTCTGTGCGCATGTACTATAGATTAAGGATGTGATCATATGGTGATACAGGGTCAAGTTTGATTGCCCTGTAAAATGGTGCTTCATTGGGTGCAGTCCCCCTTAAAGTGACCCTTCCGTGCACCCATGCACACAGAAACCATCCTAGCCCAGGTCAAAAAAGAAAGAGAGAAAGGAAAGAGGGAAGTCCTGTGGCTAGACTACTCCATGGAGAAGGGTCAGGTTGCTTTGCAATTAGTCCTGTGGCTAGACTACTCTATGGAGAAGGGTCAGGTTGCTTTGCAATTTGCAGTGTTGTTGCTGGGGCCAAAGATCATGCTGCAGCTTAATACATCACCAAAACACCACCTGGGGTCACACATGCACACAACATTTTGTAGAACAAACAAAACTACACACAGGAAACACTGTTCAGATTGTTCTCTTTTAAAAAGTAGAAGCCTTCTGAGGCAGGTGAAAGAACTCCAAATTGGAAGCAAAAAGAGCCAGGTGAAATCACAGTGGCTTTTGTGTTGTGTGAACATTGAAAAATACTTTTAATTCACTCATGCTGATTGCAGAGCAAATCCAGAAGTATCTGTGGATGTAGTTATAGCCTGCTACTTATAAAGATTTTTGATGCTCCAGTTCTGTAAGTTTGTTCTTCAGAAACAAATCATGAGAAGAGTAGATATGTTTTATTAATTTTGATGTACCTGGCTTAAGCCTTCACAGAACTCAAACTTCACAAGCACAGACCCCTCCTAAGGGATGGATCTATTATGAAACTAATGAAGCTTAAGCTTCAGTGCCTCTAATCCCAAAAAGACCCCAGAAGTGACTTTAGCCCACATTTTAAAAAGGTGTGGCAATCTGTTGTAGAACAACTCAATTGAAGATGATAACAGTAGTTGCCCAGAACGTGTTGCTGGTTGTGAAGGGCCCCCATAACAGTTCAAACGTTAGGGGCCCATAAATGTAGATCCACCATTGCACTGGACTTAGCGAAACATCAGTGGGAGATACGAAACCCCATTCTGATCATCAAGTCAGACAGCAAAATGTGTTGCTCTGAGGGTGAGATTTCTACTTCAGATGCCAAAGCAACTTGCCCAGTCTTGAGTACTATGATTAACCTGGGGTACAAGCTGCTTGTACTACAGGCAGAAAAATGTTCTGGATCAGTCCATTGGACTATTTTAAGGATATTTTTACACAGAGAGACCAACAATATCCAACTGGATACTAACAGAGGGGATCTTCACCCTGTCATTTTTTTAAAACAATAGTGCAAAGTCATTGAATCTCATGACAAAAAAACTTAAATTCAGATGCAGTGGAGAGATTTGTACCCCATAAACCCACTTTATTTTAAATCTGTACAGTTTATTAGCATGACACAAGAAAACTCTTCAACAAAGAAGAAATGGTTTTGCATAAGGACATCAGCATCTATATAGGTTATACTATTCTGTATTAAATTCAGATGCTCCAGCAGACACAGAGCTGTGTCTATGTTTAATATTTCTATTACATCCCTGTACTCATTATTTTACTAATATGCCTCATCTCATGCAACTGATGTCAGAGAAGAAAAACCTTTGGCTGCTAGAAACAGTGAGGAGACATTTGGTAGTTTTCCACAACTGTAGCCAACCTAGCATTAAAAAAAATACAGA